ATAATTTATTCAGTTGTTTTAGTCTTTGAAGAGCAATTGATAGTCGCCGTTTGATTTCTTTCATTGTGTCACCATTGTTGGTAACCAGTGACCCAAGATATTCGAAATTTTCCACCACTTCCAATCTTTCCTCATTAACATATATTTCCTTCTCCATGGCAGTTTTGTTTGTATGCATTATCTTTGTTTTTGCTGTGTTAAGAAATAAGTTATGATTTTCACTATTTCTTTGGAGTGAGGTTAATAAGTTTTCTAAACCATTTTGTGATGTTGATAGTAATACTGTATCATCAGCATAACGAATTTCTGGTATTTCATGACCACCGATGTTTAGGGCATCATATTGTTCCTTGTTTATATCATCTCTTACATTTCTTATTATATTTTCGGCGTACAGGTTGAACAAATACGGTGACAGCACACATCCCTGACGGACTCCTTGCTTGATGCCAAACCAGTCTGATGTCTCTCCATCTATTCTGACTGCTGCTTGTTGGTCTTGATAGAGCATTTTAATGAGCTGCACTATATGTGATGGAAAGCCCATATTCCTCATGATTTCCCAAAGCTTCTGATGTTATATATATATATATATATAGTGAATTCTTTTAGATTCATTTTTAACTCATTTCTTTTGTTTGTGCATAAATAACCAGAATGTAGGTGTATTTTAAAGTTTTACAGCATTATATAATTTGATAACTATTTTCTTCCATAGACAGTCTTGCTTTTAAACATCTTGCAGTCTCCAGTGTCATGTTATATTTTGTGTGCAAAAAAACGTTTGTGGCTGCGGAAAAAGACTCAATCATTTAATCTGTTTGTTTTCTCCTATCTCTCATTTGAGAAAAAATGGACAGTTTTCACGTTTCAGTTTCTCTTTTCTCAAATTTTTATACAGATGTTTGTGATAAGTTATCTTCAAGTCGTATCTTTTTTTATTTTTTTTATATTTTTTAGACATGATTCAAATGACTCAATTGGCTATAAAAGAAATTGTAATCTTTCTTTTATAGAACCTTACATTTTAAAAATATGTTAATATATGGAAAGTAAAGTACTCTTTTTAAAACCTTGTGCACTTCATATATGTAGTGCTAGATCTATTCTATTTTAGTCTTTCTTCTTCTTAGCATCTATTCTATTTTAGTCTTTCTTCTTCTTAGCATCTATTCTATTTTAGTCTTTCTTCTTCTTAGCATCTATTCTATTTTAGTCTTTCTTCTTCTTAGCATCTATTCTATTTTAGTCTTTCTTCTTCTTAGCATCTATTCTATTTTAGTCTTTCTTCTTCTTAGCATCTATTCTATTTTAGTCTTTCTTCTTCTTAGCATCTATTCTATTTTAGTCTTTCTTCTTCTTAGCATCTATTCTATTTTAGTCTTTCTTCTTCTTAGCATCTATTCTATTTTAGTCTTTCTTCTTCTTAGCATTCACCCACTGTAAACTCTAGATGAAAGTTCTGGTCGTAAATCCATCTGACAAATTCTAGACAAATTCTAGAACTTGAGTTTTGCATGCACATCTATTTTACATTTACGCCTCATTTGTTTGCAGACTGTTAGTTCCTCACGAGTATGGCAGATACACTTTTTACTTCAAAGAAAACACTCCTAATTGGTTGACTTTTATGACATGCTTGTTAGAGGGCAATGGATCTGTTCTTATCTTTTCCTAAATGGGCTCCAGATCTCACACAAGGATTTTACAATTGGCTGTTAATGGATGTTGTGATAAACCGCCTTCACTTCCCACACCTGGGGCACCCATTTTAGGCTATGTCAACATGGAAGCTAATGTCAGTTTTGAAGGGGAAAAATCCACCTCTATGAGGTTTAAACCATAAGCCTTCCAGCTGGCAAGCAAGTGTCTAGCCACCACATTATCACAGCTCTCTATAATTATTATCCCAACTTCCCCATATTGGTTCTGGGACCCCATTTTGGGGGTGAAGTATAGACCTAATGTCTCCCTAATAACCATGTCATATGAGATGACTAGTTTGGATGTTTCCTTAGAAGTCAGAGTGCATCTATCTGAAAAGTGAGGAACCAACAGTCTGCATACAATTAGGGATAACTGTAAAATGGATGTGCATACAAAACTCAAATTCTGGAACAAGACCAAAATACAGAAAGGGACAAACTACCATAACCTTTTGCCTGAGTTTACAACAGTGAGCATGAAGAAGAAGAAGAAGATTACCCCAGCATTAATATGTTGACAGAACTTTGTGCTATTGTTAAGATATCTTTAGAGTTTTCCAGAACACTGAATATGTATTAACAATCTGCATTACCATTTCATGTTAATAGATAAATTTGGATGATATCAACAACCGCCTCAATGCCATGGATGACTTATTTGTAAGTACTTGTAAGAGTCATCATGTTGTGAGTTATGAGCTGGGTTATTTTCTCGGCACTCTGGACACATCCATAGGTGCTCAGATTCCGCAGATACATATGTCGTAATTGTAACAGACTCTGAAAGCATGTTAAGAAAGGTGAAGACAGGGATGCTTTGAGCAGAGCGGCAAGCTTCACTGCGAAGGTCACAGGTAGTGAGAATACTTTGGATCTTTTCTCCAGGCTATGCCGGTGTTGTGGGTAATGAAAAGGCAGACAGATTGGCTGGATTTGCACCACTGGGTGGTGAAATGATACATGACAAGGCAGATGTGGTCAAGACCCTGTGGGAACAAGCAACAGAATCAGTAGAGAAAGAAGATTATTATGGCCTGGAGAGAATGAGCCACCTGGGTGTAACCAGAGGATCTGGCTGGCTCACTATCTTCAGAGAAAAGGCAAGACGGACATATAACCAGATTGTGACTGGTACCATCAGTATTGGAACTCTGCACTGGCTGCTGAAGATAAGGATGGAGCCTGCATGGGAATGCCCCGAGTGCAGTGATGTCAATTCTTGACTCACTCAACTCAGCTTAGATTCCTCCTTCAACATATACACGAGCATGTTATGGTTTATTGTCCCAGTCCTATGCTGGTTGAGCGGCTAGACGCTCGCCGCAGATCAGAAGGTCGTGGGTTCGCTCTCTGGCGGAGCCGGACTTATTTCAAAAATGACCTTGGCTCCCAGGTCGACCCAGCCTTGAGTGGGTACCGGGTGCAGTCCCGGGAAAGTAAAGGCGGCCGGCGTGATGCTGACCACATCATCCATCTTGTGCCGATTGGTCTATAAAAATATAGGTCTAGCCCTATATGCCCTATACACCTAAAGGCGTGGAAAAAGGGGCCTTTACTTACTTTTTTTCACCTATGCGGGTTGACAAGACTTCTTGTACATCCGGTGTGCCTTTCATACCTGACTGTGGCGATCTTTACTCCCCATTCTTGCAGTCTTAGCAGTGAGTGGACATCCTGCTCCCAGAATCCTTTGATCGTCCTATCTCTCTAAGGTTATTAACTATATCAGTGCAGTCTATAGGCTGGCCATCCGCAGTTATGGCAGAATTGGCCAGTCTGTCAGCTCTTTTATTACTAAATACCCATATACAGTGGGCAGAAGATGAAGGTAACTGCTCACTTAGTGGAATTTCGAAGTCATAATGTATCTGGCTTGGCAATGTTTGTTTTATTTTTATTTTAGGGTTTATGTTGTCAAGCCATTTGCTTCACTCCCTGAATGTCATGGTTCCATTTATGCACATGTTTTTACTGAACTGAATTATGAATTAAGAAATCACATCATAGCACTCAAGATATTCCCCTAAGTGCTTCTTCCCCTTCTTCAGCAGCAAGCACAGAGTTTCAATTCTGATGGTATATTGACAGAGTAATTGTATGCCTGTCTCACCCCTCCCTGAGTGCTCAGCATCGGCCAGATATACTGGTCACTCCACAGTTTTATTCAAACCATGATGATCTATTTGTCCCTCTTTTTACAGAAGTCCCTGGGAATGGTCGCTGGAGCTGTAGGCTTTATGCTTTGTGTGATGCTCTTTTTGTTTAAACACTAATTTATATGCCTTAAGCATGATATTCACAAACACACAGGCTCACATTTGTGACTGCTGACTAATATTCAAAAAAGGAAATTAGAAATAAACAACTAATTTCTTATTTACTCATCATACATTTTAATGGTATCATCTAAAATTTTACCCTTTAACACTCTCATCTATCTATACACTCCATAGACAAATTAAATTTGATTGGAAAAATGCCAAGAGGGAGACAGAGCTAGAATTCTTAGATGGCTTGGGGAGACAAAGCGAGAATACCTAGATGGCTTGGCAATAATCATGATACCAGTGTGAACCTGTCTGATTTGAGGCACTAGTGATAGTCAATGTGAGATGGCAAACCATGATAGATTATGTTTTTTGGCATAAAATGTGATGATTATTTGGACACAAGTCTTCATTTGTGTGATTATTTATCTTACAGTTCAGTGGTGAACAGGTTTGCCATAATATCTTTCTTACGTGTTGTTAGTCATTTACAAGATCAAGGATAATACATTTAAACTGCTGGTGATAGACTAAAACTGCTGATGGTATACTGAAAGCCCTGATGTTATATAGAAAAAATAGACAGTATATCGAAATACAGATGATACACTGAAACCACTGATGATATACTGACATTATATTGAAACCACAAATGATACACCAATATCATTGATGACATAGTGAAACCACTAAGAATGCATTGAAGCCCTTGGCAAAACATTTACTCAACAAATGATACACTGACATCACTAATGATACACTGAATCCACTGAGAATACTCTGGAACCATTGACAATACACTGAACTTACTGATGATGTATAGAAACAGAAGACACTAATGATGATACACTGAAACCTCTAAGAATATAATAACACTTCTAATGACATACTGAAACCACTGACAAAACACTGAAGTCACTGATAATAGATAACATTGACATACACTGAATCATTCAGCAGGCAAAAATAATCTTTTATTCTTTGTGTTGGCATCTACAGAAAGAAATGAATGACAAGTACAATGAAGTTAACAACAGACTATCAAATGTGCCAAGCCTGGATGACATGAACCAGTTTGTGACCTGGCCTGGTCTCGAGGATGCCTTGAAAGGGGTCAGGCAAGATTTTGAAAGCAAGCAGACTACAAGGGAAGAGAGGGTGGTTTTTGAACATGGTGTTCAGACAGAGATACTTGTAAGCATTACAGTTAAAATTCTGTTAAGATGATGATGATGATGCTGCTGCGTCTTTTTCTTCTTTTTCTTCTTCTTCCTCCTCCTCCTCCTCATCCTCCTCCTTCTGTGCATTCATCTTAAAATATGTTATGCCCATTTACAACATGGCTGCAATATTTGCACCTTTTGGCTGATGCATTCAACTTCTACAGGCATTCGTTGCCCATGTTAGCTCTCCCAGTTAGTTTAGTGAAACATTGTAGTCTCATTATTGTGTGATCATCTTTGTATCCTAGTTCACAGATGCCCCCCATCCCCCTGTCAGGTCAGTACAGAGCAGCCATGTAATGCTGGTCAGCCCTCAAGAGAAGAGAGAGGCAGAACATGAGCATTTCCGATCATTCAAAGAGGCTTCCATAAATGCAGAGCCTTTACATGGTGCTCTGGTACTGGATTCATCCAAGGAATAGTCACGTCCTGGTCATGACTGTTTAACCTCACTTCCATAAATTGAGCCTCTCATTCATCATGGGCTTTTCCCTGTATGGGTCTCAGGGCCCCATTGTAATAGAAACTAAAATAGATCCGGTGCCTCCCCAATAAGGAGTCAACTAACTGGGGGCTTCCACTGAAGTCAGAGTGCATCTGCCCAAGCAACAAGGAACAACCAGCTGTAGGCAATAAGCCAGAAAACAGATGTACATGCAAAACTCAGGCCATGGCACAAAGACTGAGTCCAGGACTTTCTGCTGGAGAGACTTGAACATTTCACCATCTAGCAATGATGATTATAATGATGATTACAGTGATGATTACAATGATGATTACAGTGATGATTTCAGTGATAATTGCAATGATGATTACAGTGATGATGACATTGGTGATTACAATTATGATTACAATTATGATTACAATTATGATTACAATTATGATAACAGTGATGATTACAATGATGATTACATTGATGATTACAGGGATGTTTATAGTGATGATTACAATGACAATTACAGTAATGATTACAATTATTATTACAAAGATGATTACAATGATTGTTACATTGATGGTTACAATAATGATTACAATAATGATTACATTGATGATTACAATAATAACTGCAATGATGTTTACAGTGATGATTACAATGATTATTACAGTTATGATTACATTGATGATTACATTGACAGTTACAGTGAGTATTACAATGATGATAACAATGATGATTACATTAATGAGTACAGTGATGTTTACAGTGATGAGTACAGTGATGATTACAGTGATGATTACAATAATTATTATAGTAATTATAACATTGATGATGCAGTGCTGATTATAATGGTTATTACAATCATTGCTTTATGGAGGGGTGGGGAGGTACCTAATGGTAGACAGTACAGGCATCTTTCTTAGTGATCTTTTTTATTATTACTGTATTAAACACTTTATGGTGAGTACCGGCACCTTTTTGAGACACTTTATGTGAGTACCAGAACCTTTTGTTTTAGGGGGAAAAAAGCCTTAATTACAATGATCATTACAGGGATGATCATGATGAAACTGATCAACTTTGTAATCATGTATACTTAATTCATGATACAGGAATCTACGAGTCGACCACCGTCTTCAAAACCTGGCTCCAAACACGACTCAAAACCTGACTCCGAGCCTGGCTCCAAACACGACTCCAAACCTGACTCCAAACCTGGCTCCAAACCTGGCTCCAAACCTGGCTCCAAACCTGGCTCCAAACCTGGCTCAGAACCTGCATCACGTTCATCTTCAGCACGTAGTCGAGTGAGCAATACTTCGGGTCCGAGCAGCGAGTTGCTGGAGCTTTTAGAGAAACTGGGCAGACTTTCAGATGCTCATGAGATTCTCAAGCACAGAGTTGATGAGCTGGAGGTAGGACTTGTAGTATTAATGACAGAGAGATCACAGTCATTGTTTTTTTCATTTGTCCTACTGCTTATGCTGTAAAGCGTGTCACAGAGGGATTATATGTAGTTTCCTGAATTTTGCTAGTTGCATAGCTTGTGTCAGGTAATGTCACACTGCGTTTCTGTAGTGTCTCTTTTACTCCCTCCACCCATCCTTTGGATATTTTCTCCAGGTGATACAGGTGTGTTGGGAAATGAGCAGGCAGATAGGCTGGCTGGTTGTCCACCACTTGCTGGTGAATTGATGTATGACAGGTTAGATATTGTGAAAGCCCTTTGGGAATGGGTGAACAGTGCAGAGGTGCAGATGGATCATTACGGTCTGAGGAAAATGCCGCTGAGAGGAGTTACCAGGGGATCTGGCTGTGATGTTATTTGTAATTCAGCATTCAATATTCAACTCCCTCCACCCATGTCCTTCTTGGTCAGCTGCTGTTCTCATCTAGTACGCTTTAACTGCTACCTGATTTGGTTTTATTCTGACCTGACGACCAGATTATTTGATTCGTTGATGTTCTACAACATGATTTACTGGGACTGTACCTACTATTGTTATTAGTTTTTTACAGGTGACTCTGTCTTTTCTTTCTTTTCTTCCACTGCATTTCTTATAGTCTCATGTTGTAATTTTGCATTTATGTTTTTCTAGGACTGTCCATGTCTGGCATTGTTAGCACAAAGTTGGTACGAATTGCACATTTATCAGTTGCAATTTTTGTGTCTGTTGATATTTTGATGCCTAAAAATTGGCATTGGTAATTTATATTCTGTATTTTGTTTTCTGTTTCTCTGTCATTTCCTGCATCCTCTGTGAATACACTGCCTAGGTGTTTAACCTCTTTAGCTGATTTTAATGTCTGTCTTTTAGCGGGGATGACGTAGGGAGATCACAACAGCACTGTGAAAACATTGTTGTATTATAGTTCGTTAACCCAGCTCATGCAGCTACAGTGATGTGGTGGCTAGATTCTTGCATGCCAGCCTGAAGATCTTGGGTTTAAACCCACAATAAAGACTGCATAGTTCGCACAGTGTCTCACCAAACCACACTCTAAATACCTGAGCACATAATACAGAACTGCCCCCTATAATATTCAGCTAAGATGAAAATGGGGGATCATCAGGGGCCTAGGTCCGAGCCTTAGAAAGATTATTAATACAATACAACTGGCAGTGGTCTGTGGGCCAATTGCTAGGCCGAAGTGGACCACATTTAGCTTGCACACCACCAGTTGAATAGCCCTGTCCTACAGCAAAAACTGTGAGAAAACACACAGCAAGAGGGAAGAGGTATCCAGCACAAATTTTGGGAATCCCTTGGAGACTTGCTGTTGTAATGTCATTCATGGAGGCAACACAGCTGATAACCTGAACATATGAAAACAGTGGTAAAGAAAAAAAGAATAATCCACATCCAGTAGGATTTCTTCTCCCCAACATCTGATGCTAGACTCATAAATTTGTTGACCAATATGCACTTCAAGGAAAGCTTTATTTCTCAAGACTTTTCTGGTGCCCATTGAAGGCACGGTTGACCTGGCAGCTAATGTAATTTAAAAATAAATGCTGACCTGGCGTGGATTTGAATACAAGATTCTCTGCTCAGCAGGCAAATGTTCAGCTGCCACATCACCACAGCTTCCTAATTCAGTATTTTACTGGTCCTAATGGTTTTTTTTACCCCTGAGAGGCAAGGTCATGAGGGAGACTGGGAGGCAAGGTCATGAGTGAAACTGGGAGGCAAGGTCATGAGAGAAACTGGGAGGCAAGGTCATGAGAGCTAATCTTCCTTAATGATGAGATTTTTTAGATATCAGTATTTATTTTCTTCTCTATCCACTGTTTTCTGAGAATCTTTCTATAGCATTGCAGCTCAAAAACCGCTATTTTCTTTTTTAACCCTTTAAATTCCAGGGGGTTTAGCATCAGAGACCCTAAGTTTAGTAAAAAGAAACATACTATTGGCACACCTTGCATTCACTGGGCTTCTAGGTAGAAACATATCAACATATAATACATTCCTTGGGACTGAACAAGTTGAGGACTGTAAGATAGTCAATGACTCACATCCAAGTGTTACTACAGGGGAGATGCATGCTCTTAGAATTTTGACTTTGATGACTTTGATTTCCTTGCTGGTGCCTGACCTAGGACTATACTGATTGTAGACATGCAACTCTGTCATTACTGAGAATCAAACTCAGGACCGCCATGCTAACAGATGAGTGCACTGCCACTATACCACTGCTGTTCTCAAATCACACTTACGCATATGAAAAATAAAGAGACAACACATTTTATTTCTAAACCAAAAGATATCATACAAACGAAGGCTGACAAACAAGTTCAATCTGGGAGGCAAATGCTTTTGAGGAAAAATAAATTAAACCCAGTGGTTTCATTTCTCCTTTAGGTGGGAAATAAAAGATTGTTTTATGTGAATATGTATATTATTATAAGATGACATACTTTCCTGTCATTGCAGAAACTTCTGGAACTGAAGGCTAACAAAGAAGACTTGGGAGGACTTGGTGAGAAGATATTTGAATATTATCTATAGCTTTCTGTAACAATCATGTGTAACAATCATGTGTAACAATCATGTGTAACAATGAAAGGACAACATTTTAATTTCTGGAATTCTTTTATTAAAAAAAAACTTAATATACAAGTTTGCTGCTTCAGTCATCATTATATTAGTAAACTAAAGTCGTCCCCATGTGGGATGCAATTTTCCATTATCGTGAAGCCCCACCCCGGCTTTTGCCAGGGGCTGCAGTATAGACTGAAGGCTGAACGCCATTCTGGGACCTCTCCATGGGTGATCCGCATAGTGGCACTTTGTGTCAATGGGTGTTTATCACTGTGTGTGATGTTCTGGGGGGTAAACTTTACTTACTACTTACTCATCATTATCATTATCATCAAGTGCCTTGGGTGATCATGCCTCTTCACAATCTGTGTTCGTCAACAGCATGTATGAATTCATATGCCGACACCCCTCCATGCCACACAAAAATACTGCCAAGAATCTTCTTAGGTTTTCTTCTTTATCTCATTTTGCACAGAGCTTTCCAGTGGTCACAACATGTTCCAGTTTTCTTCTTCTCATAAGATGGACCAAAAATGATGACTGTTTCTTTCTGGTATCTTGATACCAACTTAATAACGCCAACTGAATAACACCATCATTGTATAGGTTCCGGAGCTCCATTTTGGAGAATAGGCAATAAACCCACTGCTCCCCTATAAAGCATGTTGTTGGAGGTGACTCATTAGGGATATTTCCTATAAAATTAGAGTGTCTCTACATGAGAGGCAAGTAACCAACAGTCTGCATACAAATAAGCCAGATCCTCTACAATGGATGTGCATGCAAAACTCCAGATCACGCCAGAACTTTATGCCACAGTTTACTGCCAGTGAAGGTTAGGAAGACAAAGCATAAACACCAGTTCATGTAACATACAACCACACTGCAGCTGACACAGTAATCTGCCACAACAAACAGTTTACAAAACTATGATCTAGCCACTATGCTACTGCAATCCTCAGGTATAAAATATAGCTTGTCAATAAATAGCAGGGGAATGTAGCTCTATAGCAGATACTGCCTCTAGCATCATGAAAAGTGTTTAGTGTTCACACAGTTTAGCTCACAGTCATATAAAGTTTTGTGAACAGATCTCTTCTCAATAATTTTTTCTTCACAGATGATATCTAAAAAATTATACGTAAATCAGTCAATTTGTCTCCTCCTAGCTGCTACCTAAAAGATTACCATACCATCCTGAGATTAAAAGAATCTCAATCTATATGGCAGCCCGAACAAAGCAGATACCCCCATTCAGCCTCCAAAAAAAGTTATAATTAGGGCACCCGTAAATGCAACACTAGCCAGGTGTAACCTATAGTTCTGTATGGGTAAAGATGTTTAGGTAAATAAATGATAGACTGAGGTTCAATCCCACCAGGACTGCACGCTGAGCGATAAACACTCAGTGACACAAAGTGCCACCATTCGGATTAGGATCATCCAGGGACAGGCCCCAGAAACTGCGTTTAACCCGTGGGTTATATAAGAGCCCCCGGCAATAACCGGAGTGGGGCTTTAAAACAACGAAAAATAGCGTTTGACATTGGGAAACAGACGATGTAAGGGGAAGGTAAATAAATATGACAAACACAATCTAAAACTGTAGGTGAGGTGGGAACTGCTGCTTCATTATTCTTCTTTATTACCAGGTTTATCAGATGACCTACTTACATCACTAAAGAACTTGAAAGAGGAAATGGCAGATTTAAAGGAAGGCCAGTTGAAGGTAAAACTTGGCAGATAATTAGTTGGCACTAATATTTTTTGGTATTGCACAAGCTGCTCCATAAGAGTTGTAGTTGTCTCTCTTGTTCTGTGTGTTGACCATGCTGAAAGATTTTCTACAGCAATGTGTTTTATTGCATGTTTTTAAAATTTGTTTTATTTTAATTTTATATTTGTAGGCTGAGGAATACTTTTAATTTTGACTGAAAAAAAAAACAACTTATGGACGAATATTATAAATGACTGATATCTTCCTTTGCTTTGGTTGAATATACAAGATTTAGTTTGCATCAGTAAACATTATTTTAACTGATACTGCACTAAGTCATTTTTTTGATTTACTTGATATACATTTTCATCAGTAGCATAATGACTTTTTAAATATTTTAATTTTTATTGTTTTAAAATTAAAATTTAAATGCATATCCTCTTCAGGATGCCAAAAAATAAACCCACAAATTTAACTTTAACTTATGATAAGTTAACAACAAATAAAAAATTTTTTATAAAGAAAATAAGGACGGAAATTTTAGATAGGAATTAACTAGTAATTGCTGCTTTGATCACTTCACACTGCATGCAGCGTTGTAATATGTTACTTATATGTAGTTATTTATTATAGCTGTGTCCAGTAGCAGTTTGTATGAACCAGGCCAGAAGCATACTGGTATCAACCATAAAAGGAGGGGAAGAAATATGAATGGAACTATAAAGGTTACCACTAAATGACTATATGACCCTGCTTTATGTCTGGGACTATGGAAAGTATGTTAAAGAAGATAAAAAGTTCTATAGATGTGCAGGGAAAGATTAGGCATTATGTCGCAGAAACCAAAATTTCTACACGAGGGGTCAATGTTATTTTATTTTACAATTTTGTGCCACAACCACAAAAGAGGTTGGCTGGTGTTGCTTCTCTGCTGTCTTTGGAAATATGAGGAGGCCCAATTATCTTCCATGGTGTGACTCTCATAGCGCTGACCATGAGAACCGCCCTTTTCTTAACTGCCCACAGCCAAAATCAAAGTATTCTAGGTTGAGGATTGTGTAACACATTCTCCAGTCTCTGAACCAGAGTTACCACGCCACAGAGTTACCACACCACAGAGTTACCAATGTTGCAAAGTAAAATACTAATAATTTAAGTCACTTATTGATAAGCTGTAAATATACTCTTAGCAATAAAAAAAAAGATAGCACAATGTAAATACCACAACTGTTTAAAAGACATGCAAAAGTATAATCTAGAAAAGCCTAAACATCCATCATTTGAAAAACATTGGATCATTGTATCTCTTTATATCCCTGAAGGGTTGAGCATGATAGTGGTGGTATCAATACACCAGTCACCTGTACAAATGATCCTCTACTTCTGCATTCCTTTGATGATGTTTTTGTTTTTTAAGTATCCAGAAACCATGAGTTGTAAACCCTTTGGCTCGGTACTATGGATATCGCAACCCTTCGGCCTTGATTCCATTATAGGTACCGTTAATCTGGGAGATATGTGACTTTTCTGCCTACCCCCGGGAGTGAACCCGGACCACAAGGAGTTCGTCACCCGGCTGCCGCGAAAGTCAGGTTTAACCAACTTCGCTAGAGAGCCGGGCCTTTGATGATGTAAATATGCTTGTCCTGTTTACAGCATGGCTGCGATATGTAGCCTACACCTTTTTACCAACACATCCAGTTTCTTCAGATAGGTCCTGAAATAAAGCTGAAAATGAAACATTGCCATAATAGTTATGAAGACAGAGAAAATAAAAATAACAACAATAAACTGACCGTGAAAACCAGGGCACAGCTTGCACTTGCTTTGAATCACACTTATTCACTGCTGCACTGCTATATATCACAATTATGTGTTGTATGTTTTCTTCCTTCTAAAAGATTATAAAAACAAGAGATCGTGCTGCTATGGTCAACTTTGCATGATAACCCAGTGTGTCAATGTTGTAATTGTAGGACAAAGGATTCATACAAAGATTGCAGGATGCAGTCCATAAGCTACAAGCTGATGTTGAAAAACTGAAACAGTCCATGGAAACTGTGACTGGAGAAAATTCCAAGCGGGTGAAAGAAATACAGGTGATTATTTGTTGACATACGTTGATTATGAACCTTTTCTGTCATAATCAAAGTGCCATAAATGACAGGTTTTTGTCCCAGTCAGTATGTCATATTTGATTGGTTTTGGACCATAATGATTAATATATTTACTAATTTTGTTTAGGTTAACTTTGATGATTATCGTTTATCATCAGTTCTCGTTATGCATATTTGGCACATGAGGCTTCAGAGAGGACTTTCCATGCTTTCCTGTCCTGTGCAATCTTCAGTGCAGTTTTCCATGTCAAAGATGCCGCACTCGGGTCACTTTCCATCGTTCGTCTCCATGTTGTTTTTGGGCGCCCCCGTTTTCTCTTTCCCTCTGGTGTCCATGTGAGAGCTGTTTTGGCAGGTGTATCAGGATTCATTCTCATAACGTGCCCAAGCCATTTCCATCTTCTCTTGGTTATCATACTGTCTAAAGTTTCTTGGCTTGTGACTTGAAGTAGTTTAGTGTTTGAGATTGTATCTGATGATTATCGTTTACCTGGTTTATATTGATGTGTAATTTTTTATTTCACTGTCTATTTAAATGTTAGCAGCACACAAATAATTGTTGTGGTATGTCACAAAAGCACTATCTTCATGTTACATTATGTGTTTTCAAATTGGCGTTTATAAAACAGAATTCAATTAATTTAGTATTTATATGCTTAGCACATGTTTCTATGGTATTGTTGATGCCATGAATAATTCAAGTCCTGAAACAAGACCAAAGACCAGAAGTGGAGGAACAACCGGGATATTCTGCCAGATTTTACTGCCAGTGATCAACAACCAGGTCATTCTGCCAGAGTTTACTGATGGTGAACAACCAGGTCATTCTGCCAGAGTTTACTGATAGTGAACAACCAGGTCATTCTGCCAGAGTTTACTGCTGGTGAACAACAATCAGGTCATTCTGCCTGAGTTTACTGCTGGTAAACAAAAACTAGGACATGCTGCCAGAGTTTACTGCTGGTGAACAACAACCAGGACATTCTTCCAGAGTTTACTGCTGGTGAACAACAATCAGGTCATTCTGCCAGAGTTTACTGCTGGTGATCAACAACCAGGTCATTCTGCAAGAGTTTACTGCTGGTGAACAATAACCAGGTCATTCTGCCAGAGTTTACTGCTGGTGAACAACAACCAGGTCATTCTGCCAGAGTTTACTGCTGGTGATCAACAATCAGGTCATTCTGCCAGATTTTACTGCTGGTGAACAACAATCAAGACATTCTGCCAGAGTTTACTGCTGATGAACAACAACCAGGTCATTCTGCCAGAGTTTACTGCTGGTGAACAACAACCAGGTCATTCTGCCAGAGTTTACTGCTGGTTAACAACAACCAGGTCATTCTGCCAGAGTTTACTGCTGGTTAACAACAACCAGGTCCTGCTGCCAGAGTTTACTGCTGGTGAACAACAATCAAGACATTCTGCCAGAGTTTACTGCTGATGAACAACAACCAGGTCATTCTGCCAGAGTTTACTGCTGGTTAACAACAACCAGGTCCTGCTGCCAGAGTTTACTGCTGGTGAACAATGATTCTTGGCTATTGAATCTGGGATGTTTTTGTATTTCTACGTTCGTTGATGGTGGCTTCCCCCACGAGAGAAAGAAAGCACTTACTAGGCACTTACTACTCTGCATGAATGGCAAGGGAAGTCACTCTCATTCTGGGCCTAGAAACATGAACTGGATTATTTATTTCCTAGCTCTAGAGACAAAAATCAGCCAAATCATATAATTATCATCATTATCATCATAAAGTGTCTTGCCAACTGATTTGAATACTTCTCTGTGACTATTCCACTCCAAAAAGTGTTTTAGGATGAGAGGATTTACTTCACTGTGCTGAATTTGATCTCATATGGGCAGTCTTTCTCACAGTGTGGCTGGTAGCACACAAAAGTACTGCACAGAACACAAACTCTTGTAGTTCCAGCAATGACTCCCAGGAAAACATGAAAAACCTGCAAGTGCCATCTAAATGTCAGAGTCCACAATTAAACTCTTTACTTTTCCCTTGTGGGTTCTGAGATCCCATTGTGTGGAGGGAACAAAAAAAAAAAGAATAGACCCACTGCTCCCAAACAAGCATGTCATAAAAGTAAACTAATTAGAGGTGTTTCTTTTGAAGTCGAGGTGCATCTGTCTGAAAGTCGAGGAACAACAGTCTGCAAACAAATAAATCAGATCTGTAAAATGGATGAGCACACAAAACTCAAGTTCTGAAACAGGACCAAGTCCAGAAATTAACAGACAACCAGAACTTTCTGTTAGAGTTTACAGTCAGTGAATGCCAAGAAGAAGAACCTCTCAGCCATCAGAATATGAGGCAATTGGCAGAACCACATTACCATGTAGACACCAACATCTGTACAAGCTTTGCATAATACAGTTTAGTTATGCAAGAAACACTGCAGATTTGAGCTTGTTCCAGACAAATGAAATGAAGAACTAAAGAAGAAAATAATACAGCAGCATGGATGGTTAAAAGCAGGTTTCAGTATTACCTTTGTACACATATATATTGTTTGTATCTTCATTCCTGTTTCTGTTTATCAGGAACTGGTTCAGTACTGTGACAGCCTGAATGCTAGGAAAGCAGACAAGGAGTATGTAGACATGGAAGTTGATGTGGTGAGTGTTTGAGGTGTAATACATGGAGACAAAATGATTGGTTTACTAGTTAAATGGTTGACTGATGAGACTTCTTGAAGCAGATTTGCTAGCAGACTGGCTGATTAAGGAAGATTCTAAAAGCACTGACTGGCTGAATAATAAAGCTTGGAAGCTTCATCATTTACCATGTGATAAGCATTCAAGTTTAAAAAAAAAAAAATTTTAATCTCACACAATTAACAGTATCAGATCAAGTCTGTGTCCTTGCCTTTATTAGGCAATGTGGCCAATGCATTCAGGTATTCATCTATTTTTTCTTCTTCTCTTTGCTGTATTCAAGTTTTCAAATCACAGTTGACTAGGTTGCCTGTAAAGAACGTAGTTGTGACCATAACCAATAACTATCTGTCGGCTGCTGACAAGGTCAATCCGATTGCTGCTTCTATAGTTTTATGTTACTCTAGTAGTGGTGGAGGTGGTTGGGGGGAGGGGACGGGGAGGGAAGGGGGGGGGGGGGGCAGGGAGTGTGTGAGCTTCTAAAATGAGTGCAGTACCAGCACTACTTTTTCAGGCACTTTGTAGTTAGTACCAGCACTTTAAATAAAAACAATTTATTTAGGAAACCGTGGTGGATACTGGTACCATCTTTTTTTTTTTTAACTGGAAAAAAAAAGCCAAGGGTACTCTATTTGGCAAAAAACCCTAGACTGGCCTTACACCCCTAATAGTTTTTAATACTCATATTGAAGAACATATTATAATTTATAAATATTAGAATTGCAAAAAAGGACTGCATTCTAAACCAAAGTTATTATAATTAAAAAAAAATAATATCACTGAGCCCTTAAATGTATTCCTCTGACCCTGTCCATAAAATGGGAAACGGCTGTAAGATGCATGCTCTCAAAGTTCTAATTTTGATCTCCTTGCTGGTGCAAGGATTGATTCTATCAATATCACAGAGAAATAATTTCTTGGACTATGAAGTAAAATGAGACAGGTAGGCAGGCAGACAGATAGATAGAGATAGAGATACAGAAAGGCAGACGGACAGGCAGACAAGCAGACAGAGCAAGAAGTTGTATGGACATGAATTATGTTCACAAAGAGTACTGGTTATCTGAATCAGAAAGTGCCAATCCACATCTTAAGGCATGCAACAAAAAGGGGGAAAACAAAAGTATGTCATGACAGTAGAAAAATTAGATAGATAAGAGGAGGTGTAGAGGGAGACCAAACAAGAGGCAGCTGGACAGTTTAGCATCCTGGCATGGAAGGACATTTGTATCAGAAATGATTGACAGTATACAAGACAAGAGAGCTGTGGATAAATATGATGACCAGTGCCTCGATAGTATGGACTTTAAGTAGAAAAAAATGATAAATAAATATGGTAACCAGATTTTTTATGCATAGAGCCATTTTTTTTTTTCAGTGGCAACCTGTAAATAAAGTAATTAATCCTATATTTAATTCTTGTATTATATATAATAATAACCTGATAAATTTAAGTACTTGAGTACACAGATAACATCCGATGGACAGTATATTAAACATGTTAAATGTAGAACTGTTCAATCAGAGGCAGAATTTTATTAAATGAACACTATTCTATGCGATCTATCTCTGCCAAACGAGACAAGAAAGAAAATTATTAAAAGCTATGTAAATCCTATCCTGATATATGGAAGTGAATCATGGGTAGTTGTTCCATTAGTGAAAAATTATTCGGAAGCTTCAGAGAAGTGATTTTATGGATAAATGATGAGAATACTTTGGACAGATAAAAAGAGTAATGAATATGTATTGAAAGAAACTGTCTCCCAAAGAGAACTGATTGTCATCATCAGAAGGAGGCAGTTCTCCCAAAGAGAACTGATTGCCATCATCAGAAGGAGAGATTTCTCCCAAAGAGAAATGATTGCCATTATCAGAAGGAGACAGTTCTCCAAATGAGAACTAATTGCCAGCATCAGAAAGAGACAGTTCTCCCAAAGAGAACTGATTGCCGTCATCAGAAGGAGACAGTTCTCCCAAAGAGAACTGATTGCTGTCATCAGAAGGAGACAATCTACATTCTTTGGTCATGTCAGGAGAAGGAGAAAAACTCGAGTACAGTGGGACAGGTGGAGGGGAGGAGAACCAGACAGAGATCAAGAAAGAAGATACCAGACAGTCTGACATCCAGGCATGTAGCATCATCTTTGTCAGAAAGTACACGAGACAGAAGGTTGCAGAAGACATGACTGCCAGTGCTACTAGGCCAAGACTTTAGGAAAATTATGTAATAAAGTAAATATTTGCGTATCAAAATAGCGGCATCCTCTCTGTATTATAGAAAGCTGATCGCAATCAACTTGAAGGAAAAGTCAACCATTCTCTGTTTGATTCCACAACAAGTGAGATGAATCGCATGATAAAGGACATTCTTGACAAACTAAATGGCCACGTGAGTATTTGCCATTTCCTGCTCACATTATATGTATGTTTCTGTTTTAACCACTATTATTTTTTTGGTTTTGTTTTTAACATTGGGTATGTTTTAAATAGTTATACTATAAAATGTTGGCATCTGTGGCTTAGGCATTGCAAATCTGGAGGTGCCAGGTTTTATCTCAGCTGTGGACAGTTTGTCTTGCTTTGGTTTTGACAGTGGTACCAACAACTGTGGCAAACTGCTAAAATGTGCCTAGCAAAACCACAACAGCCAAAAAATGATTGGGCTGGTTCTGCAATGTCCTGTAAAGGATGCACAACTAACTTAACTTTAAGGTGCCCATGGAAGCATTTGAAATGTCTCAGTAAAAGTTTTACACAGATTATTTAAAAACTATATAAATCCTATTCTGATGTATGGAAGTGAATTATGGTCAGTTTTTTGATAAGTGCAAAATTATTTGAAACCTTCAGAAAAGGGATTTTGTCGATGAATAATTTAAAATCATTGAAAATATTTTTTAAATTATTATTTGTTTGGTATTGGGTTAAATAATAGTTCTCATTGGCCTGTTTAAGCACTTGGAAAACTCAGAAAATATTGAAAATCACTGCACTACATCATGTAACTCATAACACACGAAGCCTCTTGCAACCTGGTGAATCTTGATTGATGACTAAATAACAAGACTAAATTAAAGGGCCAAGTACAAAATCATAAGCTCAGTCTCAAGACTAAATCAAGAGACAAACAATCAAAAGATAAAATAAAAAGTTCAATTATAAATAACATTACTAAATCATACAAACTGTTGCTAAACATCTTTCTCTGATGTTTAACATTTGTCTTTACTTCTGACAACTCGGTTAGGATGGGGACTGGAAATCAGCTCTAGCAAAGGCTATGGAGGAACTGGACGGAAAACTTGATCGTCACGAGATGAATAACTTGAAGGGATGGCTTGAGAAACAGCTGAAAGCTCTCAATAACAAGATCAAAACAATGGGCCCTGGCTGGCAGTTAGATGATGAAGCCGCTGGCATGAAAAGGTAACTTTATGTAATGTCTGACTTGTGTGAGGCCATGAACACGGAAAACAGTGTTAAAGATTGCCCTAGAGAAATGCAGAGAAAGATTAAGCAGTCTGCCTGCCTGTCTGCCTGCCTGCCTGCCTGCCTGCCTGCCTGCCTGCCTGCCTGCCTGCCTGCCTGTCTGTCTGTCTGTCTGTCTGTCTGTCTGTCTGTCTGTCTGTCTGTCTGTCTGTCTGTCTGTCTGTCTGTCTGTCTGTCTGTCTGTCTGTCTGTCTGTCTGTCTGTCTGTCTGTCTGTCTGTCTGTCTGTCTGTCTGTCTGTCTGTCTGTCTGTCTGTCTGTCTGTCTGTCTGTCTGTCTGTCTGTCTGTCTGTCTCATTTGTTACTTCATAGTGAAATAAATTTTTTCTCTGTGCTATTAATAGAATCAAATACTTCCAGTTTCCTGGGTGTGTTAATATTTCCTATAACAAATTTTGTCTTTATATGCCTATGTTATCATCTCCTATAATCTATCCATGCATTTTCATGTATATGCTAACTGTTTTGATCCTTCTGTTTTGACTGGCCTATCAGAGGAAAGGTAAACAACAATTCCTATGTTATCTATTTTGCAAAGTAAAATACTAATGATTTAAATCACTTATAAAAAGCTGAAAAATGCACTGCCATGAATGATGATGGACGAAACTGTATTCTTCTTCTGTGTTTGCCCTTAAAAGGATTCTTTCACAGACAGTTCATATATTAACCCTTTGTATCGGATAAATTAGTTTAAATACTGCTACCCCAAAATGTCTTTGCCGAACTTTTTCAAGCTTAAGTATTTATTCATTTGAAGCCCAACACCTTGGCACAGGAGGAGTTAAAGAAATAACTGCATGAGACTGAAAGAGGAAAGAAGCAGTAGGTCTGTTCCCCCCCCCCCCCCCCCCCGTCCCCTCCCCCTCAAAGAACAGGAAACAGTTGTCTGAAAGACATGATTACACATTCATACAATTTGAGACAGCAAAAGGATAAGTTAGGGAAAAAAAATTTACATCCATTGTGTGAGATAACAATAGATGCTGCAATAGACATAAATTTGAATACTACATGCTTTAGTCACTATGTAGTGTAAAAACAATAATATTTACTTCTTCATCATTCCTTTTAGTGATGTAATTGTGTTGTGTGTGTTTTTACAGCAAAGCTGCAATCTTTGTGCCTTTCGACCAACACAGCCATCTCTCTCTCCTCTTTCTCTCTCTCTCTCTCTCTCTCTCTCTCTCTCTCTCTCTCTCTCTCTCTCTCTCTCTCAATCTTTCCAGATAGTTTTTATAACATAATCTAGTTTTCCCTGGCTCATAAAGTAACCAACACATTATTTTATTTGTTGAATTCATTGGCGTCTGCAAAAGCTGAAAGTTGAAAAAGATATTGTCTCATTGTGAAGGATGGTAGTAATCTCCCATATAGATATTTGACCTCTGACACATCTCACTGGACAGTATGATTACAGCAGCTGTTATTGCTGTATTATGAAGTGTATATTTGCTGATTGCAGTAGTATTTATGGTTCTTTTCACAGACAGCTAATACAGCGGTTCCATTGCCTGTCCTGTGATAAACCAATAGCTGTCATGCCACATCCGTAAGTTCATGTTTTTATTGTTTTTGATTTATATTTTGTTAAGTCGCAAATGTTTTGATGAAATCATATAATTTGGAACATGTTGCGGTAACCTGGATGCTTTTATATGTTAGTGACAAGACTGCACAGACAAGACTAATCATGTTAAAGACAGGATTGATTAGACTAAACTGAGCATGTTATAGACAAGACTGAGCATTGTAGAGACAAAATTGAGCAGACAAAATTAAGCAGAAAAATTGAACATGTTAGGGATAAGATTGATCAGACAAAATTAAGCATATTAGAAATAAGATTTATCAGGCAAAACAAAGCATGATAGAGGCAAGGTTTAATAGAGCAGATTGAACACATAAGATTTGAATCTGTGCAGACAAATCTGATCACGACATAGACAAGATTTAAATTTTTTTTCCCCCAACTGAACATGTAAAAGACAAGTTTGAGCAAACAAACAGAACATGACAAAGACAATATTTAAAAGTCATGATTGAGCATCTTAGAGGCAAGATTGATAAGACAAAACTGAGCATGTTGTAGATTAGACTGATCATTTTAGAAACAAAACTAAACAGAACAAATTTGAGCAGAAAATTAAAAATGTTTGGAATAAGATTGATCAGAAAAAAACGTGAGCATATTAGAGACAAGTTTGAGCAGGCAAAACAGAGTGTGATAGAGACAAGATTCAGTAGATGAGATTGAACACATAAGATTCAAGCTTGAGAAGACAAAGCAGAGCATGATAGAGAAGAGATTTAATATACAAGATTGAACACCAAAGATTCAAGCTTGAGAAGACAAAGCAGAGCATGATAGAGAAAAGATTTAATAGACAAGATTGAACACCAAAGATTCAAGCTTGAGAAGACAAAGCAGAGCATGATAGAGAAAAGATTTAATAGACAAGATTGAACACCAAAGATTCAAGCTTGAGAAGACAAAGCAGAGCATGATAGAGAAAAGATTTAATAGACAAGATTGAACACCAAAGATTCAAGCTTGAGAAGACAAAACTGTGCAAATTAGAAATAGGTTTGTGCATTTTAAAGACTGTAGCTGAAAGAAAAGAACAAAAATATTTGATAAATTGGCTTTACACTTTACTACTTTACACTGTTTTCACATCAAATGTGTTTTTGTTGTTGGTTACTTGCTATGTGTATCTCCCACCAGGCCAATACCATCAATTCCATCTAACTATGGCCTCCCCAAATTCAAGTCTACTAGACCTTACACGACCTTTGAACTTGATCAAATCAGGCAGCAAGCTAGAAGGTATGTAGGTTATGAAAATAATGTACCTTATATAAGACATTCTACTCCATGTAGGCTATGAATATTATGTACCTTATATAAGACATTCTTCTCTATGTAAGTTATGAAAATAATGAACCTTATATAAGACATTCTTCTCCATGTAAGTTATTAAAATAATATTTATAAGACATTCTACTCCGTGTAGGCTATGAAAATAATGAACCTTATATAAGACATTCTTCTCCATGTAGGCTATGAAAATAATGTACCTTATATAAGACATTCTTATCCATGTAGGCTATGAGAAAAATTTATCTTATATAAGACATTCTTATCCATGTAGGCTATGAGAAAGATTTATCTTATATAAGACATTCTTATCCATGTAGGCTATGAGAAAAATGTACCTTATATAAGACATTCTACTCCATGTAGGCTATGAAAATAATGTACCTTATATAAGACATTCTTTTCCTCAATTGAAATAATGCTTTACTGAATTGCAGGTGAGCTTCTTTGTTCAGTGATTTATATACAAACGCGCTCAAAATGTCTTGTCTGTTCCTCCCTCCTCTTCTTCTGCATTCACCCTTAGAAGGCTGATTGATACATTACGTTGTGGTTGACAGTAGGGCTATTTAAATAAGTTTACTCAGGAGCCAAAATATTGAAAATTATGATCAACGCGGGCCAGAGGCGCTAGCCTCAGCGTAGAAAGATCATTATTAAAATACAACTAGCAGTGATCCACGGGCCACTTGCTAGGTCTCCGTGGGCCAGATTTGACCTGTGGGCCACCAATTGAATAGCCCTTGTCTGCGATATCCTTTGGTCTAAAACTTTTAATTGCAGAAATCCCTAATAGTCACCTGTTACTACACACATTTTTTAATGCAATAGGCATATTCCTTTCTTTTCTTCCCACCCCAGAATAGTGCATTGGAACCAATACAATCTTCTTCTTTGTTGTCCGGCTGTAAGCTCTGGCAAAAAGTTGTTTGTCCATTTGGGCTTTGGCTTTGTGCAAGGCCCTGAGTTTTTTTTGCATGTAAAAACCATTTTACTGGCTTACTTGTGTGCAGCTGGTTGTTCCTTGCCACTCTGGCAGATGCTCTTCGACTTCAAAGAAAGCCCCCAATTAGTCAACTCCTATGACATGCTTGTTTGGAAGGCAGTGGGTCTATTCTTGTGTTTCCCTAAAATGAGGCTGCAGAACCCACACGGTGAATCTGGTCTATTCCTTAACTAGCATTTATTTTATTTTACTGTGACTGACTAGGTGGGCTGTATTTTTTAAAACACATTTTAAACCTTGACTTGGCCAAGAAGTTGTATTTGACAAAGATAAAATTAAAAAGTTTGCGTTCGATATGGCAGATTGCTGTAAACCTGCACAGTTTAATAAATTTAATTGTCATGGATTTGAAATTTGAAATCTGTTGTGGAACTAATAGATATGATCATTGGCAAGGGTATTACTATTACAGTCAGTGCTCTTGTTTGCTCCAATGCCTGGGTCTCCCGAATCATAACCCAGCATTCTAAACTGGTTTACCAGCCACTCATTGTTTATATGGGTAAATTCTGAAAATGTTATCTTGACAGTACAGTCTAACCATGTTAGCTTGAGTTACACAAATAATCTCACAATTACAAACAATAGAAATGAAAATGTGACTCTAATCTTTGTTTAAATTCAACAGATGTTTCTGATGGTTTTTCTGAAGATGTCAGTTTGTTTATAATTTCCTAATCCTTTCTGGTTTTTCAATTGCATTTTCTACTTATGAGGTGAATTAAAAAATTAATATTCATGGTTATAAACCAAATACAGTACTTAAATATTGATATTTAGATTTAATTTGTAAAATTAAAAAGTGTACAGTAACTTGCTTTACAAGAATGAATGTTCATTATGCCAGTTAAAATGTCCTTGTTTTTCTCTGACCATGCTGATCGTGTAGACATGATGGCTTTCCCTTGCCCCCAATATCTGACTCCTATCATAAACACAGCAGCCAGTATGATCGGAATAAGTATAATTCTGAGTAAGTCTAGTTGTCAGCACCCAGTTTTTTTCCCTGTTGTCCTGTTTTATAATAGCATTGGAATTTTGCACCCAGTAACCATAGCGGACATCACTAGTGAAATAACATTTTCTTCCGTTTTTAATTATACTTTTTATACAATTTAAAAAAAATCATAAAGTAATGGTACTAAACATTTAGATGCTGTTTTCTTTCATTTTTAAAAATGTACCTCATGTATTTAGATCTAATAGACTGAAATGGCTTAGGCATATTGAGAGAGTGTCAAATGACACAGAGGTAAAAACTGTATACACAAGGGAGCTGAATGGTCATAGGCCACAAGGCAGACCAAGAAGGTGACGGAGAGATAACATCCAGACAGACCTGCAAACACTTGGTGTCACCAGCTGGAAAGAGAAGGCCAACAAGAGAGATAAGTGAAGGCAGGTGATATCTGCATCAATGAACCTCAAGGACTCAGAAGATGAAGAAGAAGAACCTCACTATTTATTAATTTGTGACATGTCTATGCCTGCCTACTGTGATAGTATGATGTGACATGTCTATGCCTGAATACTGTGATAGTATGATGTGACATGTTTATGCCTGCATACTGTGATAGTATGATGTGACATGTTTATGCCTGAATACTGTGATAGTATGATGTGACATGTTTATGCCTGAATACTGTGATAGTATGATGTGACATGTCTATGCCTGAATACTGTGATAGTATGATGTGACATGTTTATGCCTGAATACTGTGATAGTATGATGTGACATGTTTATGCCTGAATACTGTGATAGTATGATGTGACATGTCTATGCCTGAATACTGTGATAGTATGATGTGACATGTTTTTGCCTGAATACTGTGATAGTATGATGTGACATGTCTATGCCTGCATACTGTGATAGTATGATGTGACATGTTTATGCCTGCATACTGTGATAGTATGATGTGACATGTTTATGCCTGAATACTGTGATAGTATGATGTGACATGTTTATGCCTGAATACTGTGATAGTATGATGTGACATGTCTATGCCTGACTACTGTGATAGTATGATGTGACATGTCTATGCCTGCATACTGTGATAGTATGATGTGACATGTTTATGCCTGCATACTGTGATAGTATGATGTGACATGTTTATGCCTGCATACTGTGATAGTATGATGTGACATGTCTATGCCTGCATACTGTGATAGTATGATGTGACATGTCTATGCCTGCATACTGTGATAGTATGATGTGACATGTTTATGCCTGAATACTGTGATAGTATGATGTGATATGTCTATGCCTGCATACTGTGATAGTATGATGTGACATGTCTATGCCTGACTACTGTGATAATATGATGTGACATGTCTATGCCTGCATACTGTGATAGTATGATGTGACATGTCTATGCCTGACTACTGTGATAGTATGATGTGACATGTCTATGCCTGACTACTGTGATAGTATGATGTGACATGTTTATGCCTGAATACTGTGATAGTATGATGTGACATGTCTATGCCTGACTACTGTGATAGTATGATGTGACATGTTTATGCCTGAATACTGTGATACTATGATGTGACATGTTTATGCCTGAATACTGTGATAGTATGATGTGACATGTCTATGCCTGAATACTGTGATAGTATGATGTGACATGTTTATGCCTGAATACTGTGATAGTATGATGTGACATGTCTATGCCTGACTACTGTGATAGTATGATGTGACATGTCTGTGCCTGCCTACTGTGATAGTATGATGTGACATGTCTATGCCTGACTACTGTGATAGTATGATGTGACATGTCTATGCCTGACTACTGTGATAGTATGATGTGACATGTCTATGCCTGACGACTGTGATAGTATGATGTGACATGTCTATGCCTGACTACTGTGATAGTTTGATGTGACATGTCTATGCCTGACTACTGTGATAGTATGATGTGACATGTCTATGCCTGAATACTGTGATAGTATGATGACTAGTGATGGCTATGTGGATAAATGTACCTCAAAACAGGAATTTATGACTTGATTTAGAATGAGTATTAGAAAATGGTAATGGAGGAAAAGGTGCTAGCATGATACTGAACAAACATATCCTTAATTGAGTGCTTACGATCTAGAAATATGGAGCTTGCTAAACATTTGAACATCTTGTACGTAATTATTTTTTTGTTTTGTACTGTGAGCAAAAGAAAGATAGCCCAGTGAATCAACAATAAACTCCAAGATGTGTGAAACTAAAGTGGAACTTTTTAAAGGGGCCAAATTCATCACTAGAACTTATGTGAGAGAGTAATCTCTAAAGGCTGTGATTTTAATTATAAAAAAAACGTTTCAGAGTTGATGGATATTTAAATGTGCAGCATGCTATACATCAAATATATTTTCCTAGAACAATGAACTTCCTTCAGTTACTTATTATGTAGATGTTACCCAGCCTGGATTAAAACCTGGCTTCTCTCAATCTCTCTGATCCAATTCCCTTGGTATTTGTTTGAACTTCACTATATTTGTGTATGAATTGTGTGTGAAATGTTCACTTTATTTTTTTTGTTTGAGTTGCTTGTGTTTGCTGTAAATTATTGGAGAATACAATTTTTGATTCTACTTAGCCAATTATTTGAATCAACTCAATGTCAGGTTTTTTTTTTTTTTTTTAGATAATTCACATATTTAATTTTCACTGTGTAATTATACAGAGCTGTTAACAGGATTGTTTTAAACATTTCAAATAGGCATCTTCATTATTTTGTAAATGGTTTAAATTTTAACATAAAATTGTGGTGGGGTGGAAAAGGGGGGGGGGGGTGGTTTGGATTGCCAGCAGAACAAAAACAGTGAAATAAAAACATATAAGTATTATTTTCTCAGTATCCAGAGCACTTACCATTGTATTCAAGGTATAAACATCGATTAAACAGTATATAATTATTTAAATCTCTGCTGTTAATTTAGCTTAAAACTATTTGCACTTGCATAATGATAGCATGAGACTCAAGACAGAAGAATTCAAATGGAATATATCAGAGCAATGCAAATAAGTACCTCCATCCATTTTTGTGGATATGTCATTTTTTGTTGTTATTCACGATGAGAGTTAAGACTCAATTTATAGTTTTTCATACATTGTAAAATGTAAATCAACTTGATCTAAGATTTTCCAAGAATTGACTCACAGATTTTCCCATGTGAGTTCTGGGAAGAAAAATGAAAAGAAAAGACCCACTGTCTCCCTAAAAATCTTGCCCAACTAATTTGGGGTTTCCTTTAAAGTCGAGCCCATCTAACTGTGCATGCAAGATTCACGTTTTGGAGCAAGTCTAGAAGTGAATGAATAAGGATTTGCTGCCAGAGTTTACAGCTGGTGAACACGATTGAACAAAGGACTAGTGGATTGTTTAAATGTCAAGAAAAGATATAAAACCGAACGAAAAGTATATAAGCAAGCTTCACAATATAACAAATACAAACAAAACATGAACGTTGCGGCTATTGAGCCTTCATCAGCAATCAGAAACAATACTACACAGAAACACAAAATCTTTTAGCTGGTATCTCAAGGCAGTTGTTTCTCAGCAGAATGCTTTAAACATTGTTTAAATGTGTCACACCTTTTTACTCTTTTTTTTTTTAAAAACTTATATCTAACCTTTTTATTTAGTTTCAAATTTTCTTGATTTACTTAGCATTGAAAAGTTCTTTACAGTGTTTGTGTATTTTTATATCTGTTTTAAATGTTTATTTTTTTATATTCCGTTAATTGAAAATGATATTTTATAGAGTATATGTAAATAGACAGACAGACAGACAGACAGACAGACAGACAGACAGACAGACAGACAGACAGACAGACAGACAGACAGACACACACACACACACACACACACACACACACGCACGCATGCACGCGCGCGCGCGGGCACACGCGCGCATACACACATGCACACAAGCATGCACGCAGGCACACACACACACATATACATATAAGAGTTTTCCCTCTTTAATTAAAATACATTCATAGCTTATATGCTTAAACTACATTTTAGTTTTATTTCGTTTTTTTTTTTTTTTTACTTTTTGTATTAACATTTATTTTTCTTTATCTTACATTTATTTACTATAAATTTTTTTTTTCTAGTCTAACATACTTACTGAGAAACTCATTTTTTACAAAAGGTATGGAATTAATTAAAAAAAAATTCATATTGAGATTTAGATTTTTACCTGTTTTAATGTATAATATACTGTTTATTGTTACATACCCTGCTTTTGTCCATGATACTATCACATCTACCGCCCACCAAATTCTATAAATGGACAGTTTAATGTAGTGTTAAATAATGAAATAAGCTAAACACACCTAACAGTTTTATCTTATAGTTTGAAGAAGTTCAGTGATGATTTAAAATATTCTTAACGTTTTTAGCTGCATGAGATAAATAGTTACTGTAGAAACAAAAAAATTTATTTAAAGTCGCATACTCTGGTGTCAGGAAAATACTAAAATACTTGCTGTTTCTCTTGCTTGAAAAAAGTCATGATTTGTGAATATTGTCTTAAACCAGTCAACACTTACTGGTTTATTTATTACTCGTTTTCCGTATCAACATCAAAGTACATCAGTCAAACCCAATCGTGCTCTGTCCTCTGCTGCAAGCAGCTATCTCACTGTCTCCATCTTCATCAAACTCAGTCATAGTTGACCGGCATGTCTTCTTTTCTATGCCCCATGACCAGTTTACCCTTTATGAGGGATGTGGTCAACATCATTCCAGCCAAATTTACTTCCCAGAATATTTCCTGGTACCAATCTTAGGGCTGGGTCAACCCAGAAATCACTGCACTCAGGACATTTCTATGCATGATCCGTCTCCTTGCTCAGTAGCCAGTGAAGAGCCAACTTGCTAATAGTACCAGTTGTAACAAGATTAAAAGTCTGTCTGTTTCCCCCTCAGTGCTGAATATCTTCCAGAGTCTCATGCATCCCCTGTTTTGTTACACTGTCCATTTGATCCCAGAGAGTTTATGCCATGTTCCATTTATCAAAAATGAGCTCTGCATCAATTATAAAAACCCACCTTGATTTGAACCCAAAACCTTCAGGTCAGCAAGCAAGGAAACTTACCTATGCTCTATCATGGCTTCCATCTAGTTTGAATTAGATAATAAATGGTTAGTGTCTCTGAAGCCGTTAGGAATGACAAAGATCAGTTTTGTTATCATGCCAGGGCATAAAGGTGGACAAGGAGAAATGAGCAAGCTTTCAGGTGGGGCTACTGTGGAGTGCAGACAAGCCATACACCAGGCTGTTGTACCGAATGCTCTACAAGAAGTAAGCTGTGTGCAAGTACCAAGTGATGACTATGAATCTGCAACCATTATCAGACTGCAAAAACAGCAAGTTAAAAAGGGATGCAGCCACACAAAAGCACTATACAAAAAGCCAAAGAAGAATGGGAAACCAACGCAAAACTGGTGTCATCAGCTACTACACACTGCGGGATTTACTGAGGAGGGGATCGAAGTGTTTATGGGACGAATGGTTTGGTATATTATTATAACGGAATTCATAAACATTTTATGTACATTAAATCACCACTGTTTTCTCTCTCTCTCTCTCTCTCTCTCTGCAGTTTGGGAATGAATCCTGAAACGGTCGACTATTATGCAACAGTCCGACAGTGTGGAGGAAGTCACACTCTCACATATCCACACAAGAGAACCACTAGACTAAGCAATGCTGGGTAATGGAAAAAACATGTTTCTTATTGTGTATACTGAGTATGATACATATACATTTTATAAATGTCTCATTCTAAACCATGCCTACATTCTCTCTCTCTCTCTCTCTCTACATTTTATAAATATATAATTCTAATCCATGCCTACATGGCTCTACTCTATCTCACACACACACTCTCTTTCTCTCTCTCTTTCTATCTCATGCATGCGTTTGCACACACTCTATTTCTGGTATATCAGATTTTGGTTTCATGCTCACTTCTTTCTTTCACTACATCTCAGTCCTTTTCTTTTCTTTATTTGTATAAATGAATGAATGCTGATAGGAAAATATGATATTAGTTAAAACAGCATTTATAAGGCTGCATGAGTATGGAGATAGATATAGATCTGGCAAGAAAGAGTGTATAAGAAGAAGAGTAGAATGTGTGTAAAACCAGTGTGCTATTGCAACAGTCAACATCTTCACCTGAAGACATCTGCTGCAGAAAACATAGCATCCATGGGTGTGCCCAATATGCCATGATGTTACTCATGGACTGAATGGTTAAGTGTACAATAATGTATGCATGTGATTCAACCCCACCAGGACCATACAATGAGCAACTAACACCCGGTGACTCAAAGTGCCACCATTCGGATGATGATCACCGGGCACAAGTCCAAGAAACCCTATTCAATAATTAGGTTATATTAGCCCCCCCCCCCCCCCCCCCCCCCCCCCCGACTGCAGACCGAGTGGGGCCTTGAATTAACCAAAAATTGCGTCCCACAATGGAGAGGGATTATTATAGTGTGCAAGGAGGATAATGTGTTCACTAATTAATTATTACTGTTCACATTAATCTTTGCCAGATGTATAGTATTTAATGATCATTGTATACTGGAGCTCAGGCTTCTAACCCATGCTGATCGTCATTTTCCATATTTTGGTTCCTGAGTAAACTTGATTAGCCCTGCTGTAAATAACATCCTAGATCAGAGCTATTCAATTAAGTTTACACAGGGACAACCATTTTGAAAATGTGGATAGTCACTAGCCAAAGTTCTGAGCCCCAGCAAAGAAAGATCCTTAATTCAGTACAACTGGCAATGATCCATGAGCCAATGCTAGGCCTCCATGGGCCAGATTTGGCCTGTGGGCCACTAGTGGAATAGCTCTGTCCTAGATGCTGACGGAGATGACTGCAATCTACTACATAATTACTTACTGTTCATAATTTACAGCAACATTGTTTATATTTCTTTGAAAGAAGCCACTAGAATTCTTTTTTCTTCTCCTGTTGACAAAGATTTTTCTCCTCATACTTTCACTCCTTCTCTATCAGTAGAACATAATGTGCTACTTACTCCACCGGTGATTTCAAAGGCGATATTTGGCTGTCTATAGGCAATTTTACAGTCAGTAGTTTGCCACTGCTTTTTGAATGGTCAGCTCTTGATACCACTGTTGAAACCAATGCAAGGCCTTCTGCGGCCAAATCAGCTGCAGCTGGAATCGAACCCACAACCACAGAATGAAGTGTGTTCCCAAAGCTTAAGCCACAGACAGTATGTCATAATAGGCAGGCTAGTTAAATGTTTGCTAAAACCAGATATGCTGGGCTGTAAGACACAGATATCACAGTTTAGCTGTCAACCACAACACAACTAGCTTACTACCCTTTTAAGGGCAATGCAGAAGAACTTCCCTATATAACTTTGTTAATAAACTGTTTTACTTGTATAAAAAATTTTAAAATTAACTTTCAGACAACTGGTTCGAGAAGAAGAATCAGTGGTGCCTCTACTCAAGTGAGTGCTATGTTAACTATATAGTTGTTATAACTATATAGAGTGTTATATTATTATCAGTTGCTATATTAACTTTATGCTTTTTTTTGGGAGGAGCCGCCATGGTGTAGCAGCTAGATGCTTGACTGTGGATCCGAAGGTTGTTGGTTCAAATCTGAACAGTGCTAGGTTATTTCAAAAATGACCTTGGCTTTCAGGCCGATCCAGCCTTAAATGGGTACTAGAAACAAGTCCTGATAAGTGAAGGTGGCTGGCAAAGATGCTGACATCACCCACCGAGTGCTGATTGGTCTATAAAATATACATCTAGCCCTATATGCTCAGTCCGCCAAAGGGCATGGAAAAGAGTCCTTTACTTTTTACTTTTACTTTCTGTTTTTACAATTTGTTTATTACATTATTAAACTATTGTTGTTACAAGTATAAATATATGTACAGTTGAGCACATCCTCCGATAAATTCTCATGCAAGTTACATAGTTACCTTCATCTCATAAGATGAGTAGGCCATATCAGAATGTTATCATCTATACCATACAATAGCATACCATACCATACGGTACTGTACCATACTATACTAAGTAAACAAGTAAAGTAAAGATCCCTTTTCACGCCTTCAGACACATCCAGCATATGGGAAGAGCACCTATATTTTTACAGACCAATCGGCAATAGGTTGGTATTGTGGTCAGCATTACGCTGGCCATCTTTAGTTCTGCAGGACATACATCCTGTTACCCATTTAGGCTGGGTCGGCCTGAGTCGCCTCATACCATGATAAAAATCCACCCAGCCAGCAGTGAGTTTCGATCGCGGTACATTGGAATTACGAGTTGGACTCGCAATGCTTAAGCCACCAACGCTGCACCTACACTACACTAACTATATTATATTGGTTATATGTAATAAAGTTTTTTAAGGATGAATGCAGTAGAATAAGTATGCAAGAGTGCATTGCTTAGCATTCATTTGAGTGTTTTTATGTTTATTTTCTAAACCTGTAGCACTTTGGCCAACATTTCCAACTTCAACACTCAAGCTTTAATTTTTTTTTTTAAATACCTCGTCAAAAAGGCAGACTGCTTTTCTAGACTTATGAAATCTGCATGCCCACTTTTGTTTTCTGTCAGGTTTCATTGCGCCATCATTTGTTCTTACAGGAACATGTCATTAAAGCATTGATGGTTTGGCATTCGATGTCCTTCATCTGGATTAGTTACCTGTCTTGGATTAGAAGCGTCTTCAGCCCATGTATACTTTATCCCACTTAGCTTTACAGGCAGCCAGTACCGTTACTTGGGGTTGGTCACATGGGACCACAAGTGAGCTAGATATAAAGATGAGATCCAAGGAATTCAGACCATCATGGGAGATGTCGCTGTCTCCCTTCTCAGAGTAATAGTACTATTCCTCTACTCTTTAATTAACACCCACTATGTATGCTGATACAGACTGTCTAGCCACAGTTCTGAATTTATTTTTGGTAAATGTGTTTTATTTGATAAATTATGTATGCTGTTGTAAGTTACGTACACAAGGTACAAAAACAAATGTTGAACATCTCGCATGCGACGTATGTCAGAGATGACCATTGGGATTAGCATTGAATTTGTTGTTGTGAAGAGTAGAAGGACATCTGGCAAAGGAGATGTTGGCACTGACAGCCACGAGTTGGAGAAAGTTCCTATAGGATGCAGTGACAATGAAGTGTCTCTGCAAGAGGTTTTATATAGTTACTGATCTGCTTGAACGCAGGTGCACAGTGATTTTTGTGTCTGACTCTGTACTAAGTGCTGCAAAATCAAAAGTTCCAAAAATGATTCATGATAATTTCCACTCAGGTGATGTGATTATCTCTACAGATGGCTCTGTTTTTAGAGGCAGGTGATGTGCATAGGGGTTGGTAGCAGAAGCGAATAAACGTTGATTAGTGTAGCAAAGCCTGGCATATAATATCACGTCTAATTTGAGAATTAATTGGCGGCAGTCATTGCTGCCTTCAGCTGATTTTAAAATCAACTGTAAGCACATGTTGTAATTGTAACTGACTCGCAGAACATGATGAGAAAAGTGGAGACAGGCATGCTCTGTGCAGAGTGGCAAGCATCACTTCAGAGGTTCCGGGTAGTTAGCGTTCTTTGGATATTTTCTCTAAGTTCTGCCGGTGTGTTCGGAAAGGAGCAGGCAGATAGACTGACCAGTTCTGGAGCACTAGGTGGTGAAGTGACGTACGAACAAGCAAAATAATGAACTTTATTTTCTAGACGGGAGTACAAATGGATTATTACGGTCTGAAGAGAATGGCCCTGCAAGAAGATACCAGGGGATCTGGCCGATGCTCAGCATTTAAGGGTAAGGTTAGACAGAAATACAAGCAGACTGTTACTGGTGCCATCGGAAATGGAACTCTCAGTTTGCTGCAGAAGATGGGGATGGAGCACTTATGTGTCCGAGGACTATGATGTTGATTCTTAATTAAACATTCATAGGTGACACTTTGAGTTGGCCTAGCAACATTGTTGACTGTGAACCAAAGCACATTTTGAATTTGGCCATTGTCAGAAGTTATTGAAACTCTGTGCAGATAATCTTGCTGTTGAATGACTGCTGTTATTTATTGTTTTGCTAAAAAATACATGAGGGTATGAGACAGCCTAATTTTTTTTTTTTTTTGCATCAGTAAGCACCATGAGAGTCAGCATGTCACACTGACAAATTTTGCAGCGGAATGGCAGCTTTGTCTAGTTCAGTTCTGTTTACATTGGAAGTTCCCAATTTGTGACATTTTTGGAATTTGTTACCTATAATTAAAGTTTTGAAAATAATTCTACTTGTGCTAGTGACTTACAACAGCTTAGGGCTAAATCCTACATTTACATACTTTATCATCAAAAGTAAATTTGTCTGTATGTGTACAGTTTATTATTTGTGTAATTCTGGTTGAATGTTTACAGAGAAGAGATCGATGTGCAGGGCGCTGATGGACATATATACAAAGGGAGACTACCTTCCTCGAGAATAGAAGCCAAAATACCAAGCAGCCTAACTTCCCAGCATGGTCATCTGATTTACATGGAGGTAAAGACAAACAGAAAACAGAATAAATGTTTGAAATAAATAATTTTGGTTGCAACTTTGATTTTGCAAAACTTTACTGTCTTCTACTTTTTTTATTTATTTTGGAAACTGTATAGTCTTTTACTTTTGCTTTTGTTATAAATTGTTTAGAGTTCTCAGTTTCTCACTTCTCATACAAACATTTGTACACAATGAAGTATTATTGAATATTGTGACTACAACATTAACAAACCTTACCTACAAAGAACTATATGTTACATCATTACTGCATGTTACATCAGTCTGAAATAATTATTACTGCATGTTACATCAGTCTGAAATAATCATTACTGCATGTTACATCAGGTGAAATATTTGTTACTGCATGTTACATCAGGTGAAATATGTGTTACTGCATGTTACATCAGGTGAAATATTTGTTACTGCAAGTTACATCAGGTGAAATATTTGTTACTGCATGTTACATTAGGTGAAATATTTGTTACTGCATGTTACGTCAGGTGAAATATTTGTTACTGCATGTTACATCAAGTAAAATATTTGTTACTGCATGTTACATCAGGTGAAATATTTGTTACTGCATGTTACATCAGGTGAAATATTTGTTACTGCAAGTTACATCAGGTGAAATATTTGTTACTGCATGTTACATTAGGTGAAATATTTGTTACTGCATGTTATGTCAGGTGAAATATTTGTTACTGCATGTTACATCATGTGAAATATTTGTTACTAAATATTACATCAGTCTGAAATAATCATTACTGCATGTTACATCAGGTGAAATCTTTGTTACCGCATGTTACATCAGGTGAAATATTTGTTACTGCATGTTACATCAGGTGAAATATTTGTTACTGCATGTTATATCAGTCTGAAATAATCATTACTGCATGTTACATCAGGTGAAATATTTGTTACTGCATGTTACATCAGGTGAAATATTTGTTACTGCATGTTACATCAGGTGAAATATTTGTTACTGCAAGTTACATCAGGTGAAATATTTGTTACTGCATGTTACATTAGGTGAAATATTTGTTACTGCATGTTACGTCAGGTGAAATATTTGTTACTGCATGTTACATCATGTGAAATATTTGTTACTAAATGTTACATCAGTCTGAAATAATCATTACTGCATGTTACATCAGGTGAAATCTTTGTTACCGCATGTTACATCAGGTGAAATATTTGTTACTGCATGTTACATCAGGTGAAATATTTGTTACTGCATGTTATATCAGTCTGAAATAATCATTACTGCATGTTACATCAGGTGAAATATTTTGTTACTGCATGTTACATCAGAATTGTTCCAGAATTTGAGTATTGAGTGAACATCCATTTTACAGGTGTGGCTTATTGTATGCAGACTGTAAGTTCCTTGCCTCTCAAGCAGATGCACTCCGACTTTGAAGGAAACCACTAATTAGTTGACTCTTAGGACATACTTGTTAGGGAGTTTTCTTGTTTTCCTCATAATGGGGCCCCAGAACCCACACAGTGATACAATATGTAATAACATTTTTAATCATTAACATTTCCATTGATCTTCATCAGCAACATGTACATTCTACACATGCGCCTGCTCGGCCGATGTCAGCTACAGGCTCACGATCCTCTTCACCTCGGCCAATGTCATCTCAGTCTAACCAGCGTCATAGACCCGGATCCTCTCATGTCAGGATTTCACAAGATTACCAGCCTTCGGACAACAGTCAGGTAGGCTACTGTAATGCAGCTTGATGTATTCTTCAGTAGGATAGTGGGGATTGACCATGGAATCTGGCAGGCATTCAACAGTCGGAAAAAGGTGCTCGCAGACATACAGTTACAGACTGATACTGATACTATCAGAATTGGAACTCTGTGTTGGCTACTGAAGATGAAGACAGAGCACTTGTGGGAATATCCTTAGTAATGTGATGCTGGGTCTTGACTTTAATTCTCCTGGGAGCTCCAGAGCCCCATTGTGGGTTGGGGGTGAGGGGGGGGGGAGGGGAGAACAGCATGTCATAAAAGTAGCCTTATTAGCAATGTTCTCTTTGTTGCCTTTGCCTAAGAAAAGAGGAACCAACAGTCTGCATACAAACAGGCCAGATCTGTAAAATGGATGTGTACACAAAACTCACATTCTGGAACAAGAATAAACTCTATAAGTGGATGGGCAATCATAACCTTCTGCTGGAGTTTACAGCCAGTAAACGTGAACAAGAATTTAGTTCTGCTCAAGTTACAGCAGTATTTCCCATGACCAAGAATATTTGATGTAATCTATCTTTGTCATTTGGGGGAGAAAGAGAGTTCTTAAAAGCTGTATCAAGCCAGTCCTGATGTGCAGAAGGTAGCCAAGAACAGTTTGCAAAGCAATCTGCTGCCAAATCACCTGTGGCTGAAACAAACTGGGTATTTCAGAATTACAAACTGTAAGAACACTACACGGGTAGCCAAAGAAGAAGAATAAACCAACACAGAACTGGTGTCGTTAGCTGCTACACGCTGCGGGATTTACTGAGGAGGGGATCCGAGCACTTACGGACTGAGTGGTTCGGCGTGCAGTGAGGGTAATCTGTCGACTAACTACAAACTGTGTTTGCATATTCTATGCCACAAACACCAACAATAAATACTGTAGAAAATAAAACTGAAACTATTTCTGTGGATATTGTAGAAATAACTTAAAAATATTAATGTGGGAAACACAGACATTTAAAAAAAAATATGTGTGTGTATACAACAGGGTGGAGAATACAGAACAAGCCATCAGCCAGAGGATACAGATGCACCTGCAAACATTCATGAACCATCTGACGAACAAGAACAGGACAGAGATGAAACAGACCCAACAACATCTGAAGCATAGAATAACTTTAAAGCAACTTAGAAATATTTGTTTTCACAGTTGACCTCTATCGGTTTTTACAGTTGACATCTATTGCTGCTATGAAAATGTAATGAACATGTAAATTAGAGTCATAAGGTCATCAAATAGCAAAATGTTACTTCTATCACAATTTCCAGAAAACATCTTAGTTCCTGATTAATTCCCCTGTCTATTATATTTACATGCCCGGGGTTCTCCAATAACCTGTGTCCACTTTCACGATGGTAAATCCCTGCTTCTTTTGCCAGGAACCTTGCCTTCATTTACTGCTCTTTCAAAACCACTGATCTTTAATTTGGGCTAAGTATCTCAGTTGATAAATATATAGATGTCTATGATTTTAAAAACAAATATTTACCTAAAGTCTGTGATAATGTATGTATAATTTTATTTCTTCATGCTGAAATGCCTTCTGCCACATGTTTAATACTGACATTTTGTCAAAACTATTAGTTTAAGAATGATATACTGATTTTTTTTTAAAATTAAAAAACAAATGTTTCAGTAAAGAAAAACCAAATTTACACAGACAATAGGTCTAAGAGGAGTGACTGGCCAAACAGCTAATTACGCAAGGCTTGCCTGTGGGAGATCCAGCTTGGAATCCTCAGTAAGGTTGGGGATTTTTGTCTCTCTCGGAAAGGGGGGGGGGGGGGGGGCAAAAATATAATCTTATCCGGCATAGTCTGTTGTGAAAGCACTAGCCTTATGGCCTCAAGTCCTCAGGCTCAAAGATCTCTCTCCCTACATCACACAAGTGGTAACAACCATCAGTAATGGTAGCTTTTAAACATTTTTTTAATAGCTCTAATGAAAGAGAAAATTTAGCTGACTAATGAAGCAGACAGTATAGCTGACTTAGTGAACTAGACCATATAGCTGACTTTATGAAGCAGACAGAATAGCTGACCTAGTGAACTAGACCATATAGCTGACTTTATGAAACAGTATGATTGAGCTAATGAAACAGACCAAATAGCTTATTTTATTAAACAGACAGTATAGCTGACCTAATGAAACTGACCATATAGCTAAATTTATAAAGCAGACAGTAAGATTGAGCTAATGAAACAGACCAAATAGCTTAATTTATTAAACAGACAGTATAGCTGACCTAATGAAACTGACCATATAGCTACATTTATGAAGCAGACAGTATAGATAACCAAGTAAAACAGACCATATAGCTGACTTTATGAAGCAAACAGTATAGCTGACCTAGTGAAACTGACCATGTACCTGACTTTATGAAGCAGGCAGTTATCTTATCTGATGAAATAGCTGTCCTAATGAGAAATTTCAAGAAGCTCACCTATTTGATAACCTCAGTCGTCAATAACACTTTATCTAAACAAAATTAAGAGTTGCTGTACGTGGTGGCTTTCATGTTTGCCAGCTGGTCATGTGACTGAACCCTCATTATGGCAGGCAAAGGGTCATGGAAGAAATGTTAAGAGAAGTAAAAGCAACTGCAGTGCTGTTGATCAGATGACATATTGAGTACTAATTCGTCTATAGAAAATATAGCATAAATTGAAAATGCCACAGTTAGCCTCCTTGCTATTAAGATCGCACAATTCTTGGACGTAATAGTGTTTGACTTGATTTTATAACTTTTTTTTTGTTGTTCAAAAGAAATCCCCTCAGTGCATTTTTCCAATAATTGTAAAATAGTTGGTGCAGCACATAAACAACAATGGATGACAAGAGTAGGTAACTCATCAGCATTAAATGCAACAGTAGCTGCCACAACACTAAACTAAATAAACAGATGTCTGTGTAACTGTTACAATTATGTTAACACTTATCTCTCGCTGCCTGTAATATTCTAATGTCTTTATTATCGCATGATATTCATCTCACTTTTTTTTTGTAGGCATTATTAATACTATTTCTAATTTATTTATTTTTCTTAGTTGTGTGATTATTGGTCTGTTTGTTTATACTTTGTCAAAATGCTCATGAATATCTATATATTAATTTTATCATTTACCCATTAACGTAATATTGAGTCAAAGAAGTTGTTTATTGTATTTCTTTTAGCCTTTCTGTCAGCTTAGGATTAATTATTACAAAGCTTCTGTTCACTGACATTATATTATCTTATGTTTCTAGACTGTTGCCTTTTATATTTATATTCTTAAGCATTCAGTTAATCATCGTCCAATGGCTTAACTCATTCAGCACTAAGTAGCTCATCACAAACATAATTGTAACTCTTTACATATTATGCTTTATTCATTGTGTCCCTGTTGTTACATGAACTCATGAACTCACTGTATCTGATATATTACTGTAACTCCTGTGATCTTTTACTGTTAATATTATAATTTTTTAAGACCAAATATTTGTTAATTTAAAGTATCAGTTACTGCAGATGTAGTAAAAACAGTAGAGGACTGAGAATGTTAACGTAGTTTGTGAAGAATAAGGCAGGTAGGTCCGTTGTTTTCTGTGGGTTTTTTGTGTTTGTTTCAAAACAAACCTTAGTGCCCAGGTCAACCAAGTCTAATACTAGGTACCATGTAATGTCCAAAGAAGGAGAGATGATGGGCAAATCAGTCATTGTATGTTAGTTGGTCTATAACATTACGAGTCATTTGAACAAAATGGTACCTTTACCCACGAGGATTAATAAAGGTTCTAGGGAAGTCGAATGAAAAAAGGCTGATGACAGAGAAAACAAAAACAAGAAGTGATACACATATTTCAGCCATTTTAAAATACATGACACAATTATAAACGTTTTTTAAACTTCCTGAGTACCAGAAGTCTGGTAAAGTAGAGGAGGCATCTGATTGACTAATTTACTGACTCATTCACTGATTTATTGTATAACAAAGTGTACAGAACCAAAACAACTAAGCAGTTTTAATAAATATCAAGCAATACAAACAATGCCCAAAACTTACCTTTGATAAATTAAGAAAATAATATGTCACAATATATATATATATATAAAATTGTCTTAAATTATTCTACTTTTGCATATGTATATGCATATGTGTTATAGTTATTCAAATACTATTGTATACAGTTTATTAAGTCTTTTGCTATTTTTTTAATCAATTATTTATTTTGTTCCATGATGTATAATTGATTCATTTTCTAAAATTCAGCTGGTGCACAAAATCCTCTTGTAATTCTTTTAATCATCTGTTTGCTTGTTCTATCAATAGATGAATACATAATAATACTTTCTTTTCAACATTTGGCTACAGTTCACTTTTTACAAAAATCTGGCTACCTCCATTTAAGTTTTTTTTAAACAAGCTGTTTTATTTATTTAACCCCATTTTGAAAGTACCAGATTAAAGATTATTCATGTTAGTAAATCCCTCATGAGAATCTACTGTGAAATTGTAAATTGAAAGGCAACTCCTGAAACCTCATTTCTGAACTACACTTGCACCACGCCCATTATTTAGTACATGCTCTCTGTTAGTTCTTAGCTTGCTTATGACTGTATCTAAATTAAAAGTATTTTCAGAGCTAATCTTCTTCTTCAGCGTTCTGAGCCCCTGAGGTTAATTACTACAGCTATCACCCACCACCATTCATTTCTGCTATTAGTTGGCCTTCTCTTTCCAATTGCAGATTCTGACTATTTGTAGCTCAGCCTATAAATTATCTCTCCATTATCTTCTTGTTTTGCCCTTTAGTCTGCTTCCATTCAATTCTCTTGTATAACAGGTTTTTTTCTATTATCTGCCATTCTGTCTAAATGCACTAAAAATATCAGGGCCGATAGTTATTAATACTAATTTGTAACATGGTTCTGGGTCTGTTATCTGAAGATTTAATGCCACAATGACTAGATGATCCACAATTGG